CTTATTTCAACCCTCATGGGAGCACTGCCAGGCTAGGTCAAGTTGGCTTTGCAGGCAGAGGCTGTGACTCGCCTCCCCGCAGCTCCGGACCATTATGTACCACCTGACATCTGCCCCTTTGGCATAAGGACTACCAAGGAAATTGAGAAGAAGCAGATGCAGAAAAACTCTCCACCCTCCCCTTATCTGCCTTTCCATGGGGAAAAACAAAAGTCGGTCATGAAAATAAAGTGAGAGCCTGATGTGCTGGCAGACACCACAGGAATCTATATAACAAGCCTTACTAACTCTGGGGCTGGCAGGCTGCAGTGTCACAGGAAGGGCCAAGCCAGGATGAGGATGCGCAGAGGGGAGCTTGCACTCTGTAGGTGCTGTGCTGTTGCACTCATTAAAGTTGCCCTGCTGGCTGTATTCTCTGGAGACCCAGAGGCAACAGAGCAGGAGGGATTCACCCAGGGCTACACCTGAAAGGTCCGGCCTTTGAACCCAGACCCTCTATCTTCAGTGCCCATACCCTTGTTTTTGTTTCCCTTGTTTCTAGATAAGAGACTCAAGGACTAGGGGCTGAACCAAGAGCCTCTGCATTCAGCTACATCCCCAGCCCCTTTTTGATTTTTATTTTGAGACAGGGTCTTGCTAAGGTGCTACGCTGTCCCAGGATGGGTTCAAACTCGCCATCCTCCTGCCTCAGTCTCCCAGGGTGCTGGGATTGCAGATGTGCACCACCATGCCTGGCTCAAAACAGAGGGACAGGTAGACTGCATGGCAGAGGATGCAGAATGTCAAAGCAAATGCTCGGTGGGGAAAATGCCGCCCACTTTCTTTTGTTTTTAAATAACCCATCACAGCAGTGTCACCCTTTTGAAAATCTATCAGCAGCTTCTCCCAGTGCCTGTGATCATTTCATGCAATACATGAAACTAAGATACTCAAGGACCACCCCACCCTGGGCAGTCATAGCAGTAGACGGTGCTGACTGCCTACTCCATGGCAAGCTGTTTAACGCATGCTTCCTGTCAGCTCAGAGGAACCGAGGCTCACAAACTACAAAGTCTGAAGCCAAACTAATCCACCATGCCAGGTTTGCAGCCCTGGTTTCTACTCTGCAGCGCAATTACTCATTTCACAATTGCAGTGCAGTCTGCAGTGACCTTGACCGGTTTTAGAAAAAAACAATAATGTTAACCTCCATCTATATTTATACTTGTTGAGAGTGTTCCGCCAGGAGAAAAGCTCACCCGTATTTGCCTGGGCTTTGCTGCAGTCTTGCCTGGGTGACGTTCACGGTTTGCCCATTTATTAAAAATGCAGAAGTTGCAACAATCTGGGAATCATAGGGCTTAAAAGGGAACGGCACCATTTTTTTAGTAGTTTAACTGAGCACTGAAGGTTTTTTTCAATGATGACTCAAAGGGATAAGAGAGAGAAAAACAAGTCAAAAACTGAGATCCTAAGAGATTCCGAGAAATAATTTGGCTGTCTCTACACCAGTGCACAGGGAAAGAAGGGAGGGAGGGAAGGAAAGGAAGGGAACCCTAAACACCAGATAAGTTGTTGGTTGAACAAAAAGATTCTTAGCTACGAAACAGTGATCTTCTGGAGGAAAACAGGGGAAAATAATGAAAGAGAAGGGGATGGGGGTAGAAGGATGCACAATGTACAGAGAGATTTGTATTTCTCTCTTTCTTCCTCAGGGAAAAAGTCTTTATTTCCAGAGCCAAAGCAACCTTTTCCATGCATGCAACAATGAAGCCAAGTCCTGTGTCAGTTTACTGTGCTCCTGGAAGGCCTTTCATCCTTCTGCTCTAGAAAAAAACCCAGTATTAGGACCAACAATGACAACTGCATTATTTAACACTAACCAAGGGCCAGCTCTGCGCTGTGACCTATAGAGATGATTTATTTAATTCTCACAACATGAGGAGCGAGTAGTATTGATACACCCATTTGACAGGTGAGCAAACCTGGGAGCAGTGATATTAATTTGTCCAAGGCCACACAGCTGCCAAGCATGCAGGGATTCCCCTTCTTATTTACCTTGCTCACCCTAGAAAACCTGGAGGCAAATAGAAGCTAATGGCCATGCTTTCCTGGGCTCTTCAATAACCTGAATGACTTGATGGAAAAGAAATGTAGCCCAACAGTGACGTCAAGACCATCTCAAGCAGTGGATGGAGGCTCTGCAGTGCCCGACAGCTGATGGCTCATCTCTGGGCGATTATCAGAATGTGACTGCGGGACCAGGGCCCTCCACACCCCAGCTGCTATGGACTTTACTCCCCGCTACACTCTGCTCATCTCTGCCACTTCCCAGTGACGGTGCCACAGGATGCCACCTGCTCCGTATGGTCCAGATGCTCCAGTACCACAGGGTACCAGAAAATCCCATGCCTGCTTCACAATGGTCACATGTGTCCCAGGGCAGAAACACGGCTGATCCACTCAAGGGAGAAGGTTAAATGACTGCTTCCCAAGCCTGGTATTCTCACTGAGGTTGTCCTTTGAGGGAAAGCAAAAATTATGTCACTGTGGGACACATGTAGGGGACTCTGTTGACATTTAGGGATAAATCAGAAAAGTCCTTGACACTTCCGGGAGTCAAGAGCCAGATGCCTGGAAATGATCAGGGAAGAGATGCATGAGGACTTCTACCTACCCCAGGTCTTCCACCTGAAATTCTGACTACCACACCTCACCCAGCTTGACAGTCAGGGCACTATTGATCTGTCCCTTTGGCCAGGAGCCCCACCTTCAGGCGGAGATTCTCCTTCCAGGCTGGAGTTTACTTTCTGTCCCTGAGAGTCACAAGTCATGCCTGTGGGCGCTAAGAACATTCTCTTCTGCCAGATGTCCACTCCCAACCTGGGAGGGTCAGAAGGAAAAAGAACTTTCTTGGGCTCCAGGGAGAACCATGAAAAGCTGGGGCAGGCAGCAGCTTGATGTACTTGATGGAACTCCCATGGATGACATTTTCCAGCCCACAAATCACTCCAGGCATTGTGCACCCCTAAGGAAGGCATCCCTTGAGGGGTATGTGGCAAGGTTAACACCTCTTCATTTCCAGGGCAATCCCACCAGGGATAAAAGAAGGCGAATGATGGGTGGACTGTGCCTATTTCCTTAGCAACTGCAGGTCCCTAAATAGATGAGCAGTCTGCGAGTGGGAGAACTCACCCTTAAGGCCAGAGAGAACCAGCCCAGGACATGGCCGGAAGGGCCACCACAGTGGGGAGATCTGTGGGTCAAAGCATCAGGGCTTTCACTGAAAAGAACTCTGGGTCAACAGTCCCCCAGTTCCTGCTGGTTGCCTAAATAAGGCCGAGCCATTGTCACAAAGGATCTTAGCTGGAATTTGTCCCTTGTTACTTCCCTCCAAAGATATCCATCTGATACCCATAGCTTGGGATATTTCTAAGTCACGGTTTTAGAACTTGAAACTACAACATCCTTGGTCTACTCTTTCCCCTTTTCTTTCAGAGAAGCACTGAAGACAGGGAGGAATGGATTTAGAGAACTGAGGTGATGAAGCTTGGTGAAGGCAGTGGCCCATACAGGGGTGTGGGGTGGGGTTTGGCGACATCACCCACTCAGGGGAAACCAGATCCCCTCAATGTGCTGGCTTCTGTGAGGTGACTAAAGGATCTGGGACCACGGGACACGTCCTCTAGCTAAGGTCTCCCAAAATAAAGATTCTGTTTTCTCCACCAAGAAGCCTGGGAAAGGCGAGAGCCGTGATTGCACACCTGGGAGGGGACCTCATCCTGGTGGCTCTTGGCCCAATGCCAGAGTCCCAGGGCTCAGTGATCTCAGGCTCCACTCCCTGCGAGCCCTGTGGGGCTCCCAGCACGTAAGACCTTAAGTGCTGCAGCTATTAAAGGCCAGTCCCTCGGGCTCCGAAGTCCCCTGCACAGCCCTGCCCCAGCAGGCTCTGGGCAGCCCGGCCTCGCTGGCAGAGTGGGGGTGTGTCCATTAGATAATGGCTGAATACCACAATGTTGTGCTGAAAAACCGCGTATCAGTGGCAATGTGAAAAACACACCAAATGAGAAAGCGCCCTGAAAGCAGACTGCAGCAGGGGCCTAGAGGTCTGGGGGGCTTTTAAAGGCTCTAAGAGTCCGACAGAGCCGACCTCTTAACATCCCTCAACAACGTTCCTCTGAGCCAGAGAGGCACCCCACCCCGGATGGGGGTTCTTCCAGAAGCAGACTCGGGGCTCTGAGGGAGGGGTTGGAACCCAGCAGTCCTGTTGTCTACAGAGGCATCTGCGCCTGGAGCTCTGCCAGGAAGCTGTCTTGCAGAAAGAGGTCTTTTTACCGTCCTCCTGCCTCGTCCCCTCTGGAAACAAAAGCAGGTTGTTTTTCCTGCCCTGGTTCCCCGGGGCCGTCGGAACTGGAGCTGGAAAGGCTTCTTGGACTCCTCTTCAAATGCTCAGCCCGACGTATCTATGTCTGTGCCTCCTGCTTGGCCACTGCCACTGCAGTGACAGAAGCCAAACCAGTTCTAGGTGTGGAAGGGCTGCGAGGTGGCTCAGAGATGCACCCAGGGGTCTTGCTGGAGGGACAAGGCGGCTCTCGGAATCCCTCCCCTGCATGTGGGGGTGCAAGGAGGGAGGGTGGCAAGACAGCTACAGGTGCACTCAGAGCCGCACCCCACAGGGAGAAGGGCCCAGAGAGACCTCCGACAGCCACGTCGGGCTTGGCGGTGGAGCAAGGCGCTGTAGTCACAACCAAGAAACTTCTGGGGCCCGGTGGAGCAAGGGGGCATCCCATCCCTGCCTCTCACGCCCACCTCCTCCGGCGCCAAACTCCCTGTACTGTCCCTAGCTCAGCCCAGGCCCGTGGCCACCCAGAAGACCGAGGCACGGAAAGCGGTCGACCGAACCTGGGGACCCGCAGGGGCTGCACCCGCACCCCGCTGTCCCCCTTGCGCCCTCAAACGTGTTCATCACTCAGAAGTTAACAGCACCCGACAGACAGCCCCGCCCGGCCCGGCTGACTTACCCCAGAGCAGGGTGAGAGGCTGCGCCCTGGGCACGAGCACCAGGGCGTACACGGCCCCCGCGTGCAGCAGGCCCATGAGGACCACGTTCCTCCACACCACGGTCAGCCGCTGCCCGCGCGCGCCCGGCCGCTCCGGGCCGCCCTGCTCCTGCGCGCCGGGCATGGCGGAGTCGCCGTCGGCGTCGCTGTCGGCTCCCGGCGGGGCTCGACGCCGCGCCCCGTGCCTCTCAGCCCCGCAGGTGCTCAGCGGTCCCAGCCGCCGCCGTGCTGCCCGCGCGGCTCCCGCGCACTGCGCTGCGAAGACCTGAAGCGGGCGCCGGGCCGGACGGGGGAGGCGACCTGCGGGGCTGCAGCCAATCAGGGCCGCTCGGGCGGGGCCCTGGAAAGGCACCCCCTGGGGTCCCTGGCAGCTCCGGAGGGGACCTACAAGTGGGCCCCAGGCGGGGGGTCTGAGATCGCCCCGCTGCGCCCCGGTGTGCGCGCGCTTGCTTCTCCAGACCCCAGAACACCGTGTGGAGTCTTTTTTTCGGAGAAGTCCCCTTCCCCATTTCACCCCCAGCCACAAGCCACCATGTTGGAGAATTTTTAGAAATACACAGGCCAATCCAAGGGAAATTAGCCTGTGAAAATGTCTGCCCGTTTCTCCCCACCTAAGTAGAGGAGTGGAGCTGTCCAGAGAGGCCCTTTGTTACACAGAAAATGCAGACAGCGACGAGCCTTGAGAGTTCCAAGGAGGTGTGTGTGTGTGTGTGTGTGTGTGTGTGTGTGTGTGTGGCTACAGATGCTGGTGGGCCCCAGAAGTAAAGGGCCTCGGGCCTGTGCGCCGGGGGCTCAAGGTTCTAGTTTTAACTCTTCAACCAGCTCAGCTCTCTGACCCACATTTTCTTACCTGGGACGCAGAGCTAGTACCCACTCTTCCTTTTAGCTTGGGAATTCTATGGATGTGACTGTGTTGGTTTGAGGCTTGCTTGCAAGGTGACAATGTAATACAGGACACATATTTTATATGATTATTTATAATAGTCACCCAAAGAACGATATACAAAAGAGTACAGGAAATCCAGCTGAGGGCCGGGATCCCACGAAAATGTCCTGCATGACTCCAGCTGAAGACCTAGAGCTCATAACAATGCCTCCCACCAATACAACTGGAGGCCCAGAGCACAAGGCAATGTCTCATGCAGACCTGTTTAACGGATCTGCTCTGGGAAGGCCCAAAGATCAGTGGTGGAATCTAGGAAGTCTGTGCCAGCGGGATGATGGATCTGTGCTAGCAGGCTGAGGTATCTGCACTGGAGCCAGGAAGTGATGCTCAGAAGAACCAGAGCTCCCCAGAAAGGTACCAAAGCCATCCTCAGCAACAGTGAGGTCCTGAGCAACTCCAGTGATCAAGATGGCCAAGTTCCCATCAGGAAAGCCAACGCAGCAAGCCTCTCCAGGAAACTGGCAGGGCACCATCTTCCCCTCTGGAGCCAGGAAGTGATGCTCAGAGTGAGGACCAGAGCTCCCCCAAAGTGAACCAAAGCCATTCTCAGGGACAACAAGGCTCCGAGCTCCTCGGAGGATGAAAACAGCCATGTTCATCAGGAAAGCCAGCATGACAAGCTCCTCCAAAACAACCAACAGCTCCTTACAGCTTCCACCAGCCCCCAACAGCCTCTCTCAGCTCCCAACCGCCTTTCCTCTGCTTCTCCAGTTCTGCCTCTTATGCAGCTGGCAACAGTCACCAGGTGGGCCTCCCACACCCAGCATCACACTTAATCAGTTCAGCTGGGGGTTATAAGTTGACCACGTTATCAATCCTTTAGTGATTTTAAAGGGATGCATTATATTGACAAGAAAAAAGGCTGGCATTGTGATTACCCATTGTTAGGAATCCTTTCCAGGATTCCAGGAGAGGGGAAAAAATGACAAAGGACTGACTGGGCGAACAGGCCATACAAGAGCATCTTACTGTTAGCTGACCCAAGGCAGGCCAGCCAGGCAAAACAATGTCTATATGAAAAGTGAAGCAAAATCTGTGGCTTGCAAAGTCGGAGCCATTGAGCCGCTGTCACGGTGGGACCCAGATAAATGGAGTGAGGCAAATGGAACATGAATGGGTGTGGATTTCATCAGCCTGCTCATCTGGGCTTTATCTTGAACCACTATTTCTTCTCTTGCTTCTCCTGCCAGACCCACCTGCTCCCTCTAACTCCAGTTCAAGCTGTTCTTTCTGGAAGGGGCACATTTGTTGCTTGGCTGGTGAGTTATTATCAAGGTGCAACTTACCCTCATCCGAATCATTCAGTCTCTTGTTTGGCATTTGTTATACACCTGGGCTAGTGGGTCCTGGGGATAAGGGATAAAGAAAGAATAATCCTTACCGCAAAGGAGTTCCCAATCTAAGAGACAAGACTGACCAAAGAAATATAGATGGCTTGGCTATGAACTTGGAAGGCCAGGAAGTTCCAATCCATTATCTATCACTTATCTATCTATCTATCTATCTATCTATCTATCTATCTATCTATCTATCCTGTCTGTCTGTCTCTATCTGATATTTCCTTTTTCAATACTGGGGACTGAACTCATGACCTTGCACCTGCTAGGTAAGAGCTCACTGAGCTACATCTCTGCCCCCTTTTTATTTTGAGACAGGGTCTTGTTAAGCTGCGCAGGTTGGCCTTGAACTTAGGCTCTTCCTTCCTCACCTAGCTGGGAATACAGATATGCACCACTATGCCTGGCAGGAAAAACAAAAACAAGAACTTATTAGGTGTCACACATCCAAGGAGTCCAGGGGAGCAATGAAACAGTTCTGTTTACTTGGCCGGCAGAGTTCCTCTGTTAGATAAGCTGCTCCATCTTGGATCTATCTTGAATGAGTGTCTTCCTCTCGTCTCCCCAGTGAGTCAGACTGGATAGGGCCAATCATTTCAGCTGGTTGTCCTGATGATGGGGGAGGGGCTGTCCTTGTGTGTTTGTGTGTTGGATGGAAGTCCTTTTAGGTCTTTGGATTCTGTGTCTAAGAGGATAGCTGCAGACAGTGCTGCCCCACCCCCACCCCGCCAACCAGTCCAGCCTGGAGTGGTACACGCTTGCTAATAATGACTGCCACATATAGCGTGCTGTTCCTCCTGCTCGGTGCCTCTGGCTTGCCACAGATGCCAATATATTTTCTTAGTTTCTGTTCAGGACCCCAGAAGTGGGTGGGTTCATCACAGACAAGGATGGAGGTACAAGGGACAATAATTCCTATCCTGCCAAACAATTACTTGCCAATAGTGTGCCAAGAGCCATAACAGTAGTTTGTGTAAGTTAACAGGAGGAGTAGTTAGCTCATGAGAGAGGCAGGGAGGAGCAAGAGTGTCGTTTGGGTTAGAATTTGAATATATTTATTTGTGGTAAGATACACATAACCTAAAATTTACCATTTTGATCATTTTTAAATGAGCAATTCAGTAGTGTTAAGTATATTCACATTGTTGTGCAACCAATCTCCAGAACTTTTCAATCTTGCAAAACTGAAGATCTGTACCCACTGAATAATTTCTCCCTTTTTGTCCCTCCCCAGTGTCTAGTAACCACCATGGTATTTGATTATCTAGATAACTGATATAAGGGCTTTGTCCTTTTGGGATTAGTTTATTTAGTTTAATGTCTTCAAGGCTCCCTGGCTGTAGCACATATGGAAATGTCATTCCTTTGTAAGGCCAAATAAAATCACACATTCTGCTTCTCTATTCATCTTCCAAAGGACACTTGGGTTTCTTCTCCCTTTGGACATTATGAATGCTTCAATGAATATGTGCAAATATCTCTTTAAAATCCTGTTTTCAACACTTTTGGATATACACCCAGAAGTGAGGTAACTGGATCTTAGGATAATTCTACATTTAATTTTTTGAGGACTCACTGCACCATTTTTCACAGCAGCTGCACTATTTTGCATTTTAAGGGGACCCACTTTTCCACATCCTCACCAATATATTTTTTAAAGATAACCGCCATCCTACTGAATGTGGAGTGATATCTCCTGCTATTGATTGCATTTCCTTAATAGTGGTGTTAAGCAGCTTTTCATGAGCTTGGTGGCCATTTGTAGATCATTTTTGGAGCAATGTCTGTTCAAGTCCTTTGCCTATTTTTAATCAGGATTTTGTTTTATTGGATGTAAGGGTTCTTTATATATTCTTCTTACTAATCCTCCCTCAGATATAGTACATGGCTTGCATATATTTTCTTCCATTTTGTAGGTTGCCTTTTCAACTCTGTCATTTGGAGAAGGGTTTTAATTTTCATGTTGCCCACTTTTTCTGTTTTTAATTTGTTGCCTGTGCTTTCACAGCCTATTCAAGGTCATTTCCAAATTCAATACCATTAAGCTTTTATTCTTTGTTTTTTGAGATGGGGTCTATGTAGTCCAGGCTGGCCCTAAATTCATGGTGATCCTCTTGCCTCAGCCTCCCAAGTGCTGGGGATTATAGGCATGCACTAACAGACCCAGCTTTCTAAGTTTTCTTTTAAAAGTTTTTCAATTTTCGTTTTTTCTTTCTTTTTTCTTTTTTTCTATTTTAAAAAATAAAAGCAGGAAAACATATAACAGACAGACATCCATTTACAAAATAGCATAAGAACAATACAAATAAAACAGAGTTACAAAGTTGTAGGAAATTAACAATGGTTGCTGTATTACTTATTGATATCTTCAAAGTGGTTTCTCAGGAAAACAAGAGACACACAAGATTGATCAAACAAGTAATCATTAACTGTTCCTTTCTGTAGAGCAATAGAAAACAGTAGTACAACTATGTTAGCTATCCTGTATATACATACTTACATAATTTCCCCTTCTTTCGCTTCTCTTTTACTGGTAGCTCTTATATTTAAGGTCTTTGATCTATTTTTAATTTTTTGTATAAGGAAAAGATCCAACTTCATACCTTTGCATGTTTTCCCAGATCCATCTGTTAAAGACACTGTCCTTTCCTGATCGAATGGCATTGGCACCCTTGTTGAAGATACTTTTTTACAGTGGTGTGCCAGTTCACAAACTTAATTTTCTCCACAAGTCTGATTACAGACCAAATGGGACGGGAACCAAATCAAATTTCCCCTTATGGTTAACACTGAACCTAACCACTGAATTTTTTATTTTTGTTTTTTAGTTTTGCGGAAGGGTCTCACTAAGTTCAGGCTGGCCTTGAACTTTCAGGGACCCTCCTGCCTCAGCCTCCCAAGTGCTAGAATTATAGGTGTGTGCCACCATGCCTGGCCTAACCATTGAATTTGATTCAGTTCTTGTCCAATTCAGGGTTTGCAAAGAATTAAAGTTTGTGAATTGAGATGCCACTATATGTAGGTAAGGGTTGTTTTGGACTCTGTTCTATACTACTGGCTTATACTTTTTTGCCAATATATCATTTTTATTATTGTAGCTTTTATTAAGTTTTGAAATCAGGAAGACTGACAGTTTCAACTTTGATCTTTTTCCATATTGTTTTGGCTGTTTGTCTAAATGACTTTTAGAAGGGATATTTCTGGTTTGACCAAGAGCGCTGTTGCAGTTTTGAAAGTGCAATAAATCTGCAGATCACTTTAGGTAGCATGGATATCTTAATAATATTTAAGTCTTCCAATCCATGGATGTGGGGTATCTTTCCATTTGTCTCTTTTAATTTCTTTCAGCAACATTTTACAGCTTTCAGTGTAAAAGTTTTCTGATTCCTTGGTTAAGTTGACTGAAATATTGTATAAAACACATAAAATGTGAGGCACAAACTCAAGAGCAAAGTTCATAAACAGAACCAAACTCTTCCCTACCATGCTCTGAAATCCCAGTTCTCAGAAATAAATTAACAATGCCTTGTAATTCTTTATATGTTCTAGATAGAAGACCTCTGTCCGAGGGACAGTCAGCTAAAATTTTTCCCAATTCGTGGGTTTTCTTTTTACTCTGCTGGTGATTTCTTCAGATGTGCAGAAACTTTTCAGTAGGATGAGATCCTA